ACTGGGTAGTCACAGCGCAGTCCTGTCTACAAAGTTATGGACTAGGTAGTCACAGCGCAGTCCTGTCAACAATAGTCCAAGACTAGGTAGTCACAGCCAGTCCTGTCAACATTAGTTCTGGACTGGGTAGTCACAGCGCAGTCCTGTCAACAATATACCTGGACTGGGTAGTCACAGCTCAGTCCTGTCAACAATAGTTCTGGACTAGGTAGTCACAGCACAGTCCTGTCAACAATAGTTCTGGACTAGGTAGTCACAGCACGGTTATGGACGTCAAATTCCAGGTACCTTCCTCGTCTGAGTTAAACTGGGGATGTTGTGTTATGATCTCAGCTCTTTAATTACACTGAACACCACAACAAATGTTACCAAACGTAAAAATCAACAGTTCTGGTTTCAGTCGTCACTGGATTACTCTTTATATCGTTCTTATCGATCTCATCTTTTTAGATTCTGATTCCTCCAGTCATCATAAGACTAGGTCGTGGAAACAATAGAGTTTCCTATTAACGCTCTCGTTTACCAAGATGGAGCAATCGTCTGCAGACCGGCGCATGCGCATCTCACTGTGGCTGTAAGTACGATGTCAAAAGGAGTGTGAAGACGCAGACGATTAGTAAGCACTGTTGTGTGAGTCGCGCAAGTTAAATATATATATACATGTATATATTCATATCAGCCGTTCTCTCTTCACTGTGACAGAGCTTAACGAACATTATTCTGTACGACCGACACAGCTCGAAGTCCAAACTTGCACTCTTGCAGAAAGGATCGAAACCAGTTTTCTTACAGCTAGTGTTGATAACTGTGCCCACGACCGTCTCGAGCAAACAAAACCCATCTGTTTTCTCAAGCGTAATTATATATTTGAAAATATTCGTATTTTCGGCTGCCTTTGTCGGGTCCATGCTCTTCTCGAATGGTACAAGCACTCTCCACCAATGACAGCACCGCACGTGCAACTTCGCACCACCACGACCGGCGGTCGTTTCGACTTCGACGATGGGGGCACGTACTGTGGGGGTTGGGAAGACGGGAAAGCACATGGGTATGGTGTGTGCACCGGCCCCAGGGGCCAGGGCGAGTACAGCGGCTCGTGGCATTTTGGATTTGAAGTGTCCGGAGTATATATTTGGCCCAGCGGAAGCACCTTCGAGGGTCAGTGGCAAAATGGCAAGCGCCACGGACTAGGGGTAGAAACCCGGGGTCGTTGGGTGTACCGCGGAGAATGGACACAGGGACTGAAGGGCCGATATGGGGTTCGACAGTCACTCACTTCTGGAGCCAAGTACGAAGGAACTTGGGCTAATGGATACGGTTCGGAGACGTACGCTGATGGAGGTAAACCTAAAAGATACTTGACTTCTTGCTAGTGTAAAAAATATAGGTGTCCTGCTTGTCGTAAAAATAACAATACTTTTATAGAAGTATGTCAGAATTAATCACCTAAAAGTACAGTTGTTTTCTTGAAATACATAATTATGTAGATTACGATACTTATATGTATTATTAGCTATATACTTAGTTTATTCTAATAAACACGACAGTCAAACTTAACTATCTTCATGATGACAAAATTACAATGATTTGATGATAGTTCACATATATACACAGTTTAACGGTATGATAGTTCACACATATATACACAGTTTAACGATATGATAGTTCACACATATACACAGTTTAACGGTGTGATAGTTCACACATATACACAGTTTAACGGTGTGATAGTTCA